GGTGGGTGGGTGGGTTGGTGGGTTGGTGGGTTGGTGGGTTGGGGTATTTGAGGCTCTGCCACCATACTTACTGCCTGCCAGATAAATAGGAATCTGATTGAAGATAAAAGCGAATGATATGATACGCGTCAGCAACAGCATCCTAGAAAAACAAAAACAAAAACCAAAAAAAAAAAAAAAAACCAAAAAAAACCCAGTTAGTATATATATTCAGGCACTGCCTAAAAGCGAACAATCTCCAGGCACCCTGAAGGTCTGATTCAGGCTACAATTAAAGGTGAAAATACAATTGGGGGAAAAATCGACTTTAAGTAATTCTTTTATGGGAGTTCAAGATAATGCCCTCCATAATGAAAACCAGCGAAACGATTTATTCAAAAAGCAATACATCGTTTCCCTCGCGCGGGTCTATGATTTCTACCTTACTACTCTCCGACTTAGAAATTTTGCCACAAATATACAACCCACCACTAGCCACCCTAGGGGCTAGTTTTGTTCTTGGACAAAGTTTTCCATCGGCCCGACATTTTGTCGCTAAGCTGGTTAACTTAATCCAAAACGAAAGATATATCTTCTAACATTGTTGATTTAAAGAGTTAGACATCTCTTCTCAGTCTTCTGCTCTGCTGTAACCCTAACCGTTTTCATCTTTCACGCAAAGAGGTATTCAAATTAACCCTTTTCTTTTAAAATTAACCCTTTTCTTTTAAAATTGAAATAGGTATTTTCAGTAATATAATAGAGGTTGATAGATCTTACTTCCAATGTTTTCTTTTATGTTTGTGTGACTTATAAACATTTTGAAAGTATTTGTTTATCAATAGCTGTATCTTCCAAAGTGTATGCCAAAGTAAACGAAGCATTATTGACGGAATGTTTCGTACGTTACGTCGATAATTGCTCGAAAAGTCGCCAGCCTATATAGCATAAATCTTTTAAGAATATATAAATAATGGTCTTGAAAAACAGGAGAAAGAAAAGCGAGTCTATAAATTCTATATTCAATAATGACCTTAGACATAGTTAATTAACTAGTCAATTAACTATGCCTTAGAGGAGCTTGCATCATTCTAATGTGTAACCAAAGCTCCCAATTATAAACAAAGACATAACGTTACTAACGCTTCTGAATCTATACTGAGAGATTAGTAGTACACCAAAGTTAATTGCCGTAAAGACTAGCTTCAGTCCCCTTCGTAGTTAAGATTATCCGACGATTCGGTTGAATGCTAAGAATATATATGATACGAAGACTAAAGGATTGGTATCATCCGGACACAAGACGGTAATACAACTAGCCCACGTCTTCACAAGAAAACTAATTCCATATCTCTAGTTTCTTCCACATCTATAGTATCTTACCTTAGTGAACTGTGAACTCAATGTAGTCCTCGCTTATTTTTTAATTTCGATGAGAATAACTTAATATTCTGGTGGTTTGTGGTGGTATATTTATACTGATATGCTCTTAGCGTAATATAGATATAATGTTTTGACGTAACCACATTGAAACTTGGATCATGTTTCGTTGGATTTTTATAATAAGATAAAGGGGGGGGGGGGGGGAGGTAGAGCGAGTGCTGCGTTAATTCCTCCAAAATATCGAGCAAGCACTTCACCTACGAAAAAAAAACAAGCAACCTCTCCTTTCAGAAAAGAAATATCGAGCAAACACAAAATATATATTTATATATATCGTACAACATAAATTAATGCAACCCCCACCCCAACCCCCTCAATTATCCCGATGGCCCGTTCCTGGCATCATTTTGTAACTTCCAGTGCTGCACAAGCACGCGTGGTTCAAGACCGGATTTCCGCGCGAGGCAACGAGTATAAGAAAGCTTCCTCGAGGCACGTTTGGACTTCCCGGGTCCTAGTCGACCAGACAACTCACACTCCCCTTTTCCTAATCCATAGATGCTTTGCGGTCGTAATTCGAACCCAGGTTCACGCGCGTTTTCGAACATGGCAAATACCGTACTTCAACCGTCAGTCCAGGGCGCGAAGTACAGATAGGTATTATTGGCTGTGCGCTATCGATCCGATTTTCGAGAGAGATTTAAGTTGGAGAAGTGTGAGAACAGAGAAGTCAAGTAAGTATTTTCAGGTTAGTTACTCGGTGTTTGACTCGGTGTTGACTGTTCTAGATCATTCCAGAAAATTCTGACCCAATTTAGAACCGTTTCAGCTATAGATGAAAGACATGGCAAAAGCCGAAAGATTTTAAATCCCAGCGAAAGGAGATGATGCGCGCTCTTCGGCTTTACGATTTATATAAAAATATATCGTCTCAAAGGTCATCAGATTCACGCCCAAAAGACCTAATAACTCCCTACCAAAAGACTCTCTTGCTGAAAGAATTTTGGCAGCGAAAGTTCTAACTCCGCCAATTCCTGCTAGACAGCGAGCTGTGCTACCGTGCCCACGTACGTACCCACGCTAGTACGCACCTAAATTAGAGATCTGAAATATTCAGTTCCTTTCAGTGCAAGGGCTAGGGCACGGGTTGGGAGGGGAAGGGGGTGTTGGATGCTAGCCATTCCCTGATCAATGGCGTAGCCAGGGGGCCAAGAGAGCCAGGACCACCCTCACCCCACCCTCCCCCATCCTACCCCCTTTTTGGCAACAAAATGGCGCCTTTTTAAATTTTATACATATTATTATTATCATCATCATCATCATCATTATTATTATTATTATTATTATTAATTTAATTTAATTTAATTTTTTATTGGAAAAATAAAACGTAAAATGTAATGCAGGTTTTCTTGGATCGTAGTTTCGGGGTTGAAAAGAAGATGGTGGATTTTTAGATTTAGGTCCACCATCGGAAAAACCCTGGCTACGCTCTTAGTGATAGAGTATAAAGAATAAAAATAAAGTGTAAGGGAAGATCTGAAAAGGACTCTATGTGATGCCTTTCTATGTAGCCCCCATCCCCTCCCCCCTCGAATTGTTCTTGAGCCTTGATCCGCCACCTAAAATTACTATGTCAGAAAACTAGTTGTCAAAAAAAATATAAATGAATAAATAAATCATTGTTTTTAGGTTAGGTGTAAAAAAATAATTGGTCAGCGATAGTTGTCATTTTTTTTAGTACACGACGAGTGAATTGAAATAGAGCACCTCTTAAAGTGCCGGCCCGATACAAATCATTACTGGCAGAGATATATAATTTAACTATTGCTCTAACAGCTGTCTTATAGAAGTTATTGCAAGTCAGTTTTCAGAAGGAGTTATAAGGAACTAAAAATGAACATAAATAACTCCTCGTACGTCACAGCATTAGCATATGGCATGGAAAAACCTTTATAACTTCAAGAAGCCGCACTCAAACTATGAAATTTTTTCAGGTTAGTCAACATCTTACTACACGTAGAACCAATACTGTGAATATTGTCAGAAGGGTGATAGGCACTTAAATTTGCGCTAAATCTTTTCCGGTAAAGAGAAAGAGAGAGCAAAATATTAAGAGGATTTATTTTTCAATAATGAGCAATAATGGCGCTAAGCGCCAAAAACTAGACTTTCGTAAGAATTTTGACCTCAATTTTCGTTTTGGGTTAACACTCAAAACCTTTTTTAAACAGTTAGAAACTGATGTACTATGATAAAATGCTTGTTTGAAGTGGTATTTTCAATTGTACAAAGATGTTTTGTTGCATTTGTGTTGAAAGTTGTTTTGTCAGGCTTTTTTATAGAAAATATATGGGAAATACAAGCAAATGAAAGCCTAAACCTCATTATTGAATAAACGTTTTGCTTTGAGTTAACACTTTGATTCCTTCACTTCCAAACAAGTTAAACTTTCTGAATAACAACAGCCTTTCTTCAAGAAAATAGTTTTTGACGCTCACTGCTTGAATACGAAAAGGATTCTCTCTTAAACAACATGAATTTTGATTTTTTTTTTTTTTGTTTCATATTTTTTTTGTTAACTTTCATTCTTCTCTTGTTTTTTTTTCCTTCGCTGTTTCTTTTTGAATTTCAACGCATTTGTCTTCTGTCCTTCCCTCTTTCTTTCATTCACTTGATTATCCAGTTCAACTGGTTTCTATCACGTCATTAAATCAGATGTTGAACATCTGCCAAAAAGGTTATTCCATTCGTTCGTACTCTTAAAACAAATAAGAAACTTATCCCGACTATGGAAACTCGAACGAAAGTTTTTTTAATTGCCTCAAAACGCAAAAGAAACGATCTTTTCAGTACTCCTAAAGCTTTTCATGATCATGTCCAAAATGAACTTTGCTTCAATGTAGGAAAGCTCTCTCTTTCATTTGGTTATTGATCGAAGCATAAATAATGGACAARTAATATGAGAAACTTGTTCTAGGAGCGTGGGAATATTAATCTAGAGTCGGCATGCATCTAGCGGCTTGATTAAACGTCATTCAAGCCTCTCAGCGTCTTTTATTATGAGCAGATGCAGAGAACGGGACCGCGTTGTAAAATTTCTGTTTTTTTTTTTTTGTTTTTTTTTT